GTCATCCCATACACCCACATGTTCCTGGTTTGATTCTTGGTCAGGGCACATACCTAGGTTGCAGGTTCAATCCCCAGTCAGGGTGCATACAGGAGGCAACCAACCAATAGATATTTCTCTCTCATATCAATGTTTCTCTCTCTCTTCCTCTCTCTCTAAAAATCAATTAAAAAAATATCCTCGGGTAAAGATTAAGAAAAAAGAAAAGTTAAAATAGGGAAACATTAATCAAATGAAAGCAGGTATCACAACATTAATATCAGATAAAGTACACTTCAGAGGAAAGAAAATTTCCAGAGATAGAGAAGGACTTTATATAATAACTAGTGGCCCCATGCACGAAATTCGTGCACATTAAAAAGGAATTAATTAGAGGACATATTTTAATATCGCTATTTGCTCTTTCTCTATAATAGAAGTGTCAGAGATGAAAGAAAATTAGTAAAATGTATATGAAAATCTCCCTCCTGTCAGAGTCTGGGGCGCGCCTTGAGACCCAGAGTCAAGTCCCCGCCCACCCGCATGTGCCTCGAAATTGCGAGAGACCCAGACCCGGCCGGCCTCACCCCTGTCAAGTCCCGCAGGGGGGGGGGCGAAACCTCAGATCCCCTGGCCTGGCGGGAGGGCGCAAGGGCATGATGACAATTTGCATATTAGCTCTTTATTATATAGGATAAGAGGGTCAATCTTCCAAGAAGACATAGCAATCCTACGTATGTATCCACCAAACAACAGAGTTGCAAAAGTTATGAAGCAAAAACTGGTAGAACTGAAAAAGATATAAACAGATCCACAATTACAGTTGGAGACTTCAATACGCCTCTCTCAACAACTGGTAGAACAACTAGACAAAAAATCAGCAAAGACATAGAATAGTTCACCAATGCCATCAAATAACATGATCTACACTTACAGATACTCCCTACAGCTCCGCATTTACAAAGTACACTTTTTTCAATTGCCCACAGGATATATGCCAAAATAGACCATATCCTGAGCACAGAAAACGAGCAGCAAGAAATTAAAACCATTGAAATCACACAGAGTTTGTTCTCTGATCACACTGCAATCGAACTAGAAATCAGTACTTTTGAAATCAGTAATGTAAGATAACAGGAAAATCTCCAAACACTTAGAGTCTAAGCAGCACACTTCTAAATGCACTAAAAAAGAAGTTCCCAGGGAAATAAAAAATAATTGAGGAAATTGATTTTGTAATTTCAAAACACCCAAAAATGAAGTCACTAAGCCCACATGGTTACACTAGAGAATTCTATTACACATTTAAAGAAGAATTAATACCATTCTACACAACCTCTTTTAAAAAATAGAAGAGGGAACTTCTTAATTCATTTCATGAAGCCAGTGTTACCCTGATACCAAAACAAGACAAAGAGAGTATTAAAAACAACAATAAAGACCAATATTCCTCATGAATTCAGATGCAACCATTCCTTAGCAAAATATTCACAAATAGAACTTGGCAATTTATAAAAATAATTATAATCATGACCAACTGGGTTTATTCCAGAGATGCAAGGCTGTTTAATATTTGAAAATAAAAAAGAAAATAAATGTAATCCACTATATTAACAGACTAATGGAGAAAATCACTTGATTATATCAATCTATGCAGAAAAAGCATTTCACAAATTTTAATACCCATGCCTGCACAAAACTCTCAGAAAAATAAGAGTAAAAGGGAATTGATCTCTTTTGAGGGAATTGATCTCTCTTTTGAGATCAATTGAATTGAAAGACTCAAAATAGCAAAAACACTAATTCACCTACTCAAATTTAAGTGCAGGATTAATGCAATTCCTACCAAAATCCCAGCAAGATTTCCTTTTTGTAGTTATAAACAAGTTTATTCTGAAATTTATATGGAACAACAAAGGAACTAGAATAGCTGAAATAATTTTGGGGGGATAAAATAGGATGGAAGGAATCACTCTACCCAATATATTAAGGCCAATATTATATGGTCACAGTAATAGAGACAGTGTGGTGTTGATAAATTGCATCTACAGAACGCTTTCAGCTAACTATCTTTTTAATTGTGAAGGACTGAGTGCTTCTCACTAAGATCTG